CAGCAAGAAATAGCAGTGACCACTTGTGAGAAGCAACAGGCCTCTGTACCCATGTAACTCATCAAGCCAACTTGGCAGAGAAAACCAAAATTTTAACTTGTAGAACAAAGAATTACAGATGGAGCTATCCCAGCAGGGGGTCTTCTGTGGTGGTGATTTTTCCTGATTAAAGAGTAAAATAAGAGCTATTGCTAAAGGAGAAAATTAAGAAAAGCAAGTCCTTACGTTTGGCTTAATTTTTTTTTTCTGTTAAATATACATGAGCCTTGGCTTATCAGAACCGTGGAGTGGGCAGCACAGTGGTGATGAAGCTGTACTTCAGACCAGAGCCTAGCACTGAGCCAACCGATGCTCGTCCTTGGCTCCCACAACCCTCTCCCCACCACTGGTTATTTCCCATAACAATCACACCAGGTTTTTCAATTACTTTCACTAACTAATGAGCTGTAAGAAAAGAGGTGCCATCCACTTCATAAATGAAAGCCATTTCAGTCTTGGCAAAAGCCATTTCAGAACTTCACGAAGCAGTGGTTGATGGGGGAGAGAAGGAACCATTTTTGGGCAAAACCTCACCAAGGGCTTGCTGTGGAGACCACTATCTGGCCTCACACTTGGGTTTATCAGCCCATGCAGGTGACTCTGCTCATCGACCGCTGGGCTCTTCTCTTGTGAGTGTCCCAGAATAGCTGCGGCTACCTGAGACCAGTCCAGTCCTCGGGGACTCATTATTGTTCCAGATAAACAGCGTGGCCGAAGCCAGCACGTAATGGCTGTATTTAACCGTGATAAGTGATGGGCCGATGTGCCCGAGTGAGCCGCATCACTGTAAGGCTCGGGTAAGTGGACAGAGGCCAGCCAGCTCAGTAGTGGGCACTTCTCGCACATCATAGAGTTGATGCCATGGGGTTTTAGACTTGGGTAATAAATCTGGCAGACATGGGGAGCTTGCCTTCTAAACAGGTAAGATGGGACAGGCATACAGGGTTTTGATTATGCTAATTACAAAGGTATTTGAGGAAGGAAAGAAAAATAAAAGTCTGGAAAATGGATTAGATAAATCGAGGCAGGCTTCTCGGCAGAAGTGGACTCTTGCAGTATGGAGGGACCAGCTTGCAAATGTTGGGATGTAGAATAAGACACACATTTTTCTCTGGACACACGTTTCCTTTTGGGAGTGGTTGCTAGGAAAGTATAAGACTTCCTTTTAAAGACAGCGAGCATAAGTCTTAGGCTGTAAAGGCCAAAGAAGGAAAGGTGAGAATGGTTATATTTTGACAGTATCAACATTGGAAGTATTTCTTAGTACTCAGGCACATTTCTGTTCTCCATAATTCTCTGAAAATTCTTGTGGGGTGAAGGAGGATGAGTAACTCAATCATATTCTTAGCAATGCTTTCCTGATGTAAAAAAAGGAAAAGTGCCAGGCAGACAGAGGCCCTCTCACTGCACTTAGTTATGCATTCCCTGAGGACGGTACTTCATTCCTCTGGCCTAAGGGGCAGGGGGGCCTGGGATTCTGAAGGCGCCTGGCCATACAGGTCTGCTGGAGACTATACATTGTGGAGCCAGTCTGCAAACATAGTACATGCGTGGTGCACAGGATGGGCTGTGTGCATGTGGGATTCCATGTAACAGGACCCCTGGGTTGTCCTGCCTTCAGATGAACCCTGGACTCACAGGAAAACCCAAATGTGAGGCCCGAGTATCGCTGTTTCCCCAGAACTTCCTGCATTAAGGGATACTGTGTGTGTGTGTGTGTGTGTGTGTGTGTGTGTGCCCGTGTGTCCGCGCGCACGTGCACGTGAGAGAGAGATTAGTAGAAAGGAGACTCTGAAACTTTGTGCTTTGGAGTTCAGAAGTTAATAGTCTTCCTTATACACAGATTAATATCCAGCTGCTCAAGTTTGTAATCCTACGTACTTGACACTGGCTTTGGTCCAAAGATCCCACAGTCACAGAACTTGAGAGATGGAAGATATAATCGAAAATCTCCCGAGACGCCGGTGTCACAGAGGAGGAATCAAGACTGGGGAGGTTAAAGAAGGAGACACGCTGGACTGTGACTTGTGTCTCTGTCTCACTTATCATAGTAATTTCCCCTTTGCTCAGATCAAGAAATTTAAACTGGATGGATTTTCCATAAGATCCCTCTGCTTGGCAAGGGCAAAATAGGAACTGGCTCGGGCCCTGGAACTTCCTCGCGATCACTTTCTAAAACTGCAGGCTTGCTTCCTCCCCGCTCTTGAGTTTCACACTCTGCATACCAATAACTCCAGGAAGGTGAAGCCCAAGCTTGGTTCTTCATTTCCATTGATTCCAGCGTCTGTTCCCCGGGTCACCAACAAGGGGGCTGCCCTGAGCCACAGCCAGAGCCATGGGAACAGATGAGGACGACTTCAGGACCACCCCCTCCTCAAATGTTAGCTGCAGAAAGGGACTTGTACTGCCACCATCTGGCCTTTGCGTGTGTCCCAGACATGGCAAGGATGTGGTGAGGGAGAAGGAAACAGCACACAAATCGTCTACTTTGCCATTCTCTTAAAATAAGCTCGGTGTGCGAGGAGGCTTTCAGAGCAGCAGGAATGGGGCTGCAGAAAATAGAGTGTGGTGCAGCTGCACCCTTTAGAACTTGGGGGGAAAACACATATTATTTACCAGACAATAATAGATCCCAGAGAATAATAATGATTATTATAGTGTTTGGGATGGCAAACGCTGTCGTTAAGGTTCCAGAATGGCTCTCATTATAATCCCGTTTTCCCAGTCCCTTATGAAAGCCTTGAAATTTTCTCCAAGTAGGCTGATGCTGTCCATGTTTGGCCTTTGTCCAAAGGTGATTTGAATATAAAGAAACTCATTTGAGAAATATTCCTCTTTTTGAGGTCACGATTACATTAAAGAAAAAAAAGCCACATCCTTAAAAAAGCAGAGCACTCTTAAGTCGTTCAAAATGGCGGTGTTTCCCGGTCACTGGAAGAAAGCGTTAAATGCTTCTTTTTCTCTTTTCCTTTTTAAAGAAAGGATTCAGAGGCCCCCTCTGACTACAAGATTTGGTCATTCTTGGTCCCGAGCCCAGAGGTGGGGATGGTTTTCCTCCCTCCATGGCAAGTTCCAGGCTATGCTCCCTAGGTGGAAAAGAACTGTCCCAGAAGAAGCTACACTTGTGTCTTTGGATCCATTTGTGATTTCTGAGGCTCCTTTCCGATTCTTCATGACCTCTCATTTGACAGCGGCTCTTGGCATTTTTATTTCAGTATCCCTTCTTGCCACTGTCTCATTCTCAAAGGAAAAAAGAAAAAGAAAGAAAAGAATGAAGGAAGGAAGGGAGAGGGAGAAAGAAAGAAAGAAAGAAAGAAAGAAAGAAAGAAAGAAAGAAAAATGAGCTCTTGATTCAGAGATAAATACTCACATTTCCAAGTCTGACCATGCCAAATGAAAAGGTTTCCATGGCCTTGTAATTCCAGCCCCATCACATATTTGCGGTGTTTTGCATTTTCACTTTGGTTATTTAATATACATATTAAATACACACAGATCTGGTGATTTAATGTGATTTGGGGAACTCGGGCATTTCCTGTCATGCACATTCAGATTTTTAAACCTTGTTTTTGGCTGATCATTATTATCGTTACCATTAACACCAGGGTTTGGATAGCAGGGTTCAAAGCACAAGCTTGTACTTTGTCCTCCCAATGGGCATTTTTGACCTCCTGATGCTTGTGCTAAATTCATGCTACAGACACTCTCTGAGCAGTCTCCAGGTCTCTTTGTGGCCTCTTTTTCTTCATCTATAAAATGAGGAAATTACATTATCTCTGGGGTCCCTTCACGTTTTAAATTCTACCACCTCTCTGAAATTATTCGTTCATTGTTCTAGGAATAATCTCAACAGTTGTAAAGATGTTTACGAGTCCTCTGTCACCACCTCACGTTAGCCAGATTTTACCCATTCACATTTCTGAAATCCTCATACACCAGCAGGAAAAACAGGTATTGTTTTGGGGCATGGGGAACAACGGCTGCTTGACCCTCATTCACTTGACAGATGTGCGTCTCGCTGAACCAGGGGCTGGGTGTGGAGATGTGAGCAAAACAGACACATCCCCAAACCTCAGGGACTTTACGGTTTGGTTGGCAGACTTCTAAGAGGCAGTTTACGAGGAGTAACCGAGTGTCCTTGGGAGGTTATATTTCAAACCAAGGGACTGGTAGCAAATGAAATAAGCCAGTGTGGATGGAGAGGCAGAGCCTAACCTCTGTGGTAGAAACTGGGGTGAGCATTCTCCTGAAATTGACTTTCCTGGTGAACAATCCCTGTGCAGACCCTCTGCCCTGGGACCCCGACGCCCAGCTTGTCTGTTGTCCTCCAGTCCCGTGCTGCTGTTTGGTTTGGGTATCAAGAGATGCAAACAGCTCGCCCTTGTCAGACAAGACCCACAGAGAAGGGCATTGCTTCCAGCTACCAGCTGCCTCTGTAGAAAACCTCTGAAGAGAGGTCCACATGTCCACAGTAATTGTTCATGTGCTAAAAAGCGAATCTCTTGGCTTTCCTCCTTTGTAGCAGATACCAGAGCCATTACGTGGAGTACAGGGGTGAGGTCTGGAGCTCCAGGGTCCCCCGATGACCTTGCCACCTTTGGGGGTGACCTTGGGCAATTCAGAAGGGTTGCCAGTTAAGCGTGCAGTAAGGCGGAGGGCCAGGGTGGCCCCGTGGCCAGGCATGCCGTTGTGGTCTTTGGGTGAGGGCGTGGTGCACCGAGAAGCGACTCGTGTTTCGTGTCCTCGCACAAAGCTGGCAGGGCTGACCCCGAGCGGAACCGTGAATTAGAGACACGTCAAAGTCATGCCGTGCCGCTCTAGTTCTGGGGACTCGGTGTAGGTCTGAGCTGCCGGCCGGCCGGAGGGTGCCGCTCTGACTCATGCCTGGGTTCTCCCCACGTGGGACGGGGCTGTGGTTTGACCCAGCGGGTTCTGATGGGCCCCTTCTTCTCTTTTCCCAGGAACGCTCGCTCACAGGGTACCTTGCGTGGAGAGAGGGCGCAGAGCAAACCATGTCCCGCCATCCAATGACACCAGCTGGTCAGCTCACCACCCCCTCTGGCTAAAACTCAAACAAATAAAGCCGCTTCCTGTCATTAAGCATCTCAGAGGAAGCAGCCCTCCCTTGGTGGCCTCCAGCCCAGAGAAGCCAGCACGTCTTGGACCTACCAAGCGGCCCAGCCTTCTTGCGGCCACCGTCTCTGCTTCTCCCCAGAGGAACTTAGGGATTTCGCCCCTGGTTTTAAAACAAAACAAAACAAAACACCAACAAGCCACAAGGACCAATGTAGGTATTCTCCCCGCTCCATCTTCAAGGCTCAGAGGGTGAGGCTGGAAGATGATACGAATTTGAAAACAAAAATCTTTTTTTAGTCATTTTAAAAACTGCTGTGGTTTTGCTGCTACACGAAGAATTGTGATTTGCATTGTACGGTTTTGGACCTATACTGTTCACGTTTTGAAGGCGGAGAGGAATCATACTGGAGTCCCGACACTTCGGATTCATCTCTGTCCTGCCCAGGATGCACTTTTAAATGAAGAGTTAGAATATTTTATTGGCTAATATACTTTTCTTGTTATTTTTACAAAGGCCACCTTTATCCTTTTTAATGCCATATTTTCAGTGTTACACTTTTATGGCTTTTAATTTTCGATTTGACAGATGTAAGAAGCAGCATGAATAGTTTATACTGTGGTTTTTCAGAGACTGAATGCCAAGAGAACTCGGTAAATGTTTATTCTTCTCAGCTTTCTCTTTAAATTCTCCTAAATAGCGCCCCATTTGGGAACAGAGCAAGAGTGTTGAACTGAAGACCAAAATGCCCTCAAGGTGTAAAATAATCCGAGGGGGAATATTTGCTGGGCGTCACGAAAGACTTGGATGAAATTTCAACCCTGATGGTTTTCGGTGATCCAGGAAGTCAGTGAAGCAATCTCTCTATACGCAGAGTCCTTTCATGATAATTAGAATGGTATGGACAAACCAGTGAAAACAAGAGGGAAAGTGAGAAAGATCACCCATGATTCTGTTTCACTGTTTGCTTTCTCCTGTCATGGTTAAGAGAAATGTGCAATTCGATCCTCAATCAGTGGGTGGAGGATAACAGGGTAGATTTTCTTGTGTGCACTTGTACAGTTGTAGCTGCGAGTCCAGAAGTCCTCTAGAGCATGTGTACTGGCACTGAGTTGGTGAGACAGTCGTGGAGTGTCCCATTCTGATGAGTACAGAAAAAAAAAAAAAAAAAGAGAAAAAAAAAAAAAAAAAAAAAAAAAAAAAAAAAAAAAGGAAAAAAAAAAAAAAAAAAAAAAAAAAAAAAAAAAAAAAAACATCAAATCACCTGGTGATTCAGTGTATCTGTTTACTAACTCAGATAAAGCAATTGTTCCCTCTTGCGGGGTCCGGGTGCCCCCGCCCACAGGGCCGCTGAGCGGGAGGCTGGAGGGGTGGCCGGTGGGGGTTGGGCGAGGCTGGGGGCCCCCGTGCGGCGCCGGCCCTGAAGCGCCACGGGACCCGTGGATGCGGTGTACATAGTGTATTTCTATATTCTCCTTTGTACAGAGTCACTTAACAAGTCAAGCTACTGTTTTACAGGTGCTCCTTATTTATTAGAGCTGTGAGAGCTTGGGGGACACACCTGGCGAGCGAGCTCGCTTTTTAAAAATGAAATTGGGGGGGGGGCAGGGGAAGGGAGGTGGGAGGGAGGGGAAGCTCGAAAGCCCAGGGAGAGATTTATAAAAGTGAACAAAAGGAAAACTTCCAGCAACAAATTAAACAAACAAACAGATCCCAACACCAAACCCAGCCCCACCGCCCGCAGGAAGCAGCGGCCCCCTCCTCTGGGTGCTCCTTTCTCTGCGGGGCTCCCGACGTTCTCCTCTCTCCCTGACTGGTGTCAGCTTCATAAAACAAAAATAAATCTCTAAGAAAAAAAATGCACTTACATGTGCTTATTTCGCTTTTCTCATTATTATGACTACCGTTGTTGTTTTCCTTGTTATAGATAGACGGCGTTCATTTCTTTCCCCCAGGGAAAAAAATTTTTTTTTCAAATAAAGTTAGTAAGTTTTAAGAGATGTCGAGATATAGGGGTGACGCCGGCCTTCCCCACCTGCTGTGTATGATGCTTGTGTGCAAACCAGAGCCTGCTGGCCCGTTCGAGGGTCTGTTCCCCCAGCCAGCATGCCCTTTGCTGACAACACGAAGGTGCATGTGCAGTGAGGTCCTGGGCCTGTAGATGTGTGTGTCCCTCTCAACTGCTCTCCCAGTCCTGATTTTTTTTTTTTTTTTTTTTTTTTTTTGGCTCCAAGGAGCACCATCCAGTGGTTGCAAACCTCCCCTGCGGGTTCCATTCTCAACAGTAGACCATCTCACCCCCCGGGCTTGGAGATGCTTTTGTTTTAACTTTACGTGAATGGATGGGTCAATCTGGGTTCTCCCTGGTACCTGAAATAAACATCAGAAAATGTCTAAGGTAGGTAGTGCACTAGCACCTCATTCTAGCCAACGTAGACCTTGTCTCATCCTCTTGTTCTGCGGATGAAAACACTGAAGCCTAGAAAGGTGAATGGACTTGCTGAGTCCCATACAGGTGTGGTTCAACTTACTGCAAAACGTAGACACTTTCCGGTTTCTTCTAAGTGACCTTCCTGGGAGTGGGTTCTGGAAACTGGGTTTCTTTCTCTCATGGAAACTGGAGGGAATCTCGGAGGTTCCTGGTGTGGGGTTATGTATATGACAATGACTCCATCAGGTACTCCGCAGACCCAGTTGAGGATGGGCCAGGGGCCTGCGCACCCAGCTGTAGTTGTGTGGTACAGAGTCCCAGATAGCAGTTTTCATCTGGACTTGGCCACAGAGACAGTCACCCAGGATGCTGATTTTGCTTCTGTCGCAGTCCAAGATCATTGAGCAAACATTGTGACCCTGCTGGAAACAAAAGCTACCTTTGTTCCAACACGAAAGGATTTCATGGCATCTCATTAGACATCAGCACACCTTTTCCCTTCCCTTCCTTCTCCTAATCTCGGTGTTCCCTGAACACAGAATCCTCTTGGGCTGTCAAAACGATATGTAAAGAGAAATAGAGGTCCTAATGCCAACGATTACTAGCATGTGCTGAGCACACGTACATTGGCCTCATTTAATCCGCAGAGTAAAAGAAGAACGAGAAGCTCAGTGAGTTTAGTAATTGCTCAAGATCACACAGCCAGTGAGTTGCAGAATGGGATTCAAACCCCTGAGGTGTGGTGCCAGAGCCCAGGCCACACATTCGGTCTGGAGAAAAACTGTTGACATCCTCGTAAAGAGTCATTTTCACTTCCTGTGAGTTTGTGGCAGTGATTCGGTTTTGTTCCAAAGTGGCCCTCATTTTAAATGAAGCCAGAGGGTAGGGTGTTCATGGCTTCTGCTCTCCACACCTTACTGGGGGTGGGGAAGTGCTGAGACCACTCTGCTTCTGAGAAACCCATCAGGCAGTGTCTTCCTCGTCGGTTATCAAACCCCCACTGAACACAGGGCCCCATGTCTGACATTAAGGGGACAAGCTCCCAGCCCCTGCCCCAGTAGCTTACAGGTAACCGGAAGATGGGCTGGCTGTTGAAAAGATGGACCACTTCTTCGTTTCACAGGGAATCTCTTTGGATATTTTCCAGAATTTATGTAGTTGCACATCTGGAACCTAGATTCACAGCTTTGCAAAGCTGCACTCCCCTTGTGCTGCAGGTGTTCCCTTGACATTGGAAGGACAGCTTGAGCCATAAGCAGGCCTTTAGGTGTCAGCTCATGCTGCCTACGTGACATGGCCAAAGGCCCAGGTGCAAAGGTACTCAAGACTCATACTGCCTCATTCCCCTCTTTGGCTTCTCCTCTACCCCAAGAGCCAGAGTCCTAACTTCCTTGACCAGTTACAATAGGGCCTCACCCTGGGACAAATCACACACTGCTTAAAACTCTTTAGTGATTCCTTGAGGCCTACAGAGGCAAAGCCAAGGGCCTAGTAGGACAAATGGAGTCCTCTGGGCTTGGCCCCCCTGGCCTCGCCAGGTCTGCCTGCTCTCTGCTAGTGTAGGGGGCCCTGCTTCCTGACACCCCTGCTCTTTCCTGTCCTCCGTCTTTGCATATCAAAGTGCCCCTGCCTTGAATGCCTTCCCTTCATCTTCCCTGGGCAATTTCTACAACTCATCAAGACTCAGTGAACCACTTGGGTGATTCCCCCTGGCGAGCCTTTGGGAGCCTCTTTCTCCTCTCCCCTGCTGGGGCAGGCACACCTCCATGCCCACCTCTGTCCTGGAGCACATCACACTCTGCTTGTCCGGCTGCTCACCTGTCTGTGCCCTTTGCTAATCTGCAAAGTCCTTGAGGGTAGGGATCCTGCCTTATTTGCCTTGTATCTCCTAGGCCCAGCACATGGAAAACTATTTTATTATTATTATTATTGCAATTGATAAACCACTCCTTCAAAGCTCAGTTTACATGCTACTCCTTGGTGAAGCCGAGCCTGATTTCCCTATGGCACGATTAACTGCTCCTCCCTTGGCTTCTCGTGGCTGCTGTTTAAATGGACAGAGGCCACTTCTCATACTGCTCTTCCCATGTCGTCTGGGCCCCTCAGAGGTAGGCCACTGTAGCCCTCCCAACTTTGTATCGTTGAAGAGCTACTCTCCACCCTTGGAAGGGAAAATTTGGGCCAGGGTGTGGCATTAGTCAAGCCTAGTGATGGAGGAGGGCAGTGCAGCCCCGATGACCAGAGCTATTGTGCCGCAAACACAGAGAGACTGGGGACCTTCATTCTGTTTCTCGTGCTCCAGGGAGGGGCGGCGCCGGCTCCAGCCCCACTTCGGCCAGTTGGTCAGTGCACCTTTGGGCTTCTTCTGAACGCAGGGGGAGCCACACAAGGGAACAAGACTCAGTCACTGCCCTGGGGTTTCTGTGCTGTGTCACAGAACTATGGCACTTTCTACCCAGAAGAGCCTTAGAGATGAGATTAACTCCTTGACCCTTGCAGACTCTTATAGATGGGAAGTTAGGCTTCCATCAACACCCAGAAAGGGCCTCTTCTTCTATCTTGCTGAA